ATTCAAATGATATAAAACCAAAGCAGAGTCAAGGATGCGTACTTGTCAACATTCTGTTTGAATTTCACTTCGTCCAGATACTTACTGAGCATGAAAAGGGAAAATATATATATATATATATCTATCTTTTTCCTTAGAGAAGTCATTATATTAAAAAATATATATATATATAAAAAAAAAAGGCCAAAAAGCTCAAATTGTCCTATCGACCAATTACCGAATCACAGTATCAGCAATAAAAAAATTATGGTGTTTCTTAGCTCTTTCGATCTTCATCCTGAATCGAGTAGTTTGAGCCGAGGAATTATCTTTTTTTCCAAGGTATAGAAGATAGCCTAGCAGGAAAAAGAAGAAAAGAGGTAAAGTTGTTGAGAGAAAGTATCAAGGTCGAGATTGAGGTAGTTGCAATGTATGTCTTATTCTAGTTTGATTGTCTTCATATTCTGTTATCAATTGTTTGTTGCTGTTCTTTTTCATTGAACAATGCCAATGAATTGAATCAGATGACAAAAACTCTCAAGGATGAAGGTTGAAGTAGAGAAGAAAAACCAGCAGAAGAGTGTCATGAAAAATGATGTAGCAGAAAAGAGAGCTGCTACAGAACTGATGGAAACAATGCCTTAACAAAATGAAGGGAAAAGTTAATGTCTCGAAAAACATTTTGCAGATAACTCGACACTGATCTTATATTGCAAATTTAGTGGAGTTCACAAAGGCCATTGACCTTGGTGTCAAGGGCCAGGGGTTGAATCCCACCTTAACTATAGAAGGTTAATAAAAGAGGAAGAAAGAAACTGCCACTATTGAGTTGCTTCTGCTGGCTTTATGTAGTGAATAGTCTCTCTTTGAATGCAAAAATCCTGGTTCTTGTAATCTGCATTCTGTTTCAAATTTGTTAATGGTATTGAACGACAAAACATCTTAAATGGCATAAACTATTTCAGTACTGTTTATTCATTTGGGATAGAATTTGGATTCAATAATTTGGGTGCCAATTTTTGCTGTAATTCTCAGCTACCACACCTAGTGCCTAAATGGTATCACTTCGCACACAAAAAATGGAGAACAGTGCAATTCATTATCTACGTATTAAAGCCAATGGCTTTATATAAAACGTGCATCTCTAAATGCTAGCGTTATCCATCCAAATAGAAAAAACGGATGCTATATATCTCAAACATTTACCACCCCTGCACCTCTTACAGAGATGACAATGAATTCATTGGCATCAAAAACTGGCTGGACAAAACAAGATATTTGACACTACTAATTCATTATTCAAAGGAAAGAAAAGAAATGCTCTAGCCAAATTACTGCAGATCAAGCCTGTAATGCCAGGAGTCCTTAATCACCCTCCTAGTGCTATCAAGGTCTTTATACAGCTATATTAAATTTGGCCTCCCTTTGGTGATGCTGATAACTGTTTCCTCTTTATGCAAAAACATTGAACCAAATCCTAGACTATTGATTAATTGACACTGGGCTAAAATTTAATGGTTAAGTAGAAGAGAAAAGAACATTCTATATAGCAGATGAAATCCTTTATAACTGATTGCAGGGTGTCTTGTGAACAAATTCAAAGCATAATAGTTTGTGCAGTTTAGCCACTTCCGGTTATCATTTTCCCAAGAAAACGCATGCATTTGGAATTGGTTGAGGAATGAAGAATACTTAAAAAAGAAATCATTAAATGCCAGACACCAAAATAACTTGTTCATTCATTTTATGAATATTCCATAGATCTTTAGATTATCAATCAGCCAAAACAGTCTAACCCCTGACAAAAATAGTAAATATTACATTGTTAGATACTATTACTAGCCTAGCTCCCTTCACCAGATTAGCTTCTAGGGCTTCAGTTGCAATATCTTTTAATCAGTTGTCTCATCTAACACACAACATGGATGAAACAGTACTTATATCACAACAATAACTATGCCAGAAATTCCAAAAAGAAAGATATCCAATGCAAGAAATTGATTAAGGGGTCTCAGTGCTTTGCAGATTTTAGAATCGACCTAGCATCACTTCATCAAAGGACATGGTAGTCTAGGAAAAGGGTCTTGTATCTAGAAATCAGAAAAGGGTCTTGGAATAGGGTCATCTAGAATTCAGAAAGGGTCTAATTACCCAATTTGCATGCAAAGAGATCTTGCAATAGCAATTCCGTTAAAATCAAACATGCAAGACAGAGCAGAGGGAAAAGAAATGTGTTGTTTTTGCATCAATCATGAACCAGATTTAAGCCAGATTGCTGAAGAAGTGACAATACTTACCACAGCGACAGCATGTCTAAATGCTAGCATTATCCATCCAAGTAGAAAAAAGGATGCTTCATATCTCAAACATTTACCTCTCCTGCACCTCTTCCAGAGATGACACTGAATTCATTGGCATCAAAAGCTGGCTGGACAAAACAAGATGTTCGACACTACTACTTCATTATTCAAAAGAAAGAAAAGAAAAGCTCCAGCCTAATTACTGCAAATCAAGCCTGCAGTGCTAGAAGTTTTATATCAAACTAGTTCTATCAGATCTTTATAAAGCTATATTAAATTTGTCATTTGTCTTGCCCTCCCTTTGGTGATAACTGTTTCCTTTTTATGCAAACCATATAGCTAATTGTTATACCAAATCCTAGTCTCTTGATCAAATGAAACAAGGTTAACAAAGGACTAATGGTAAGCAGAAAAGAAAAAGAGCCTTCCATATGACATATGGAATCCTTTGTAACCGATTGCAGTGTGTCTTGTAAACAATTCAAAGCATAACAGTTCATGCAGTTTATCAACCTTGGATATCAAGGCAACACAGCAATTTGGATTTGGATGAGGAATGAAGAACACTTATAACAAGGACTCATTAAATACCACATACCAAAACAAGAAGTTCATTCATTTTTTTCATATTCCCTGGATCTTTTTTAATCATCAAGCTGCCAAACTGGTCTAACACCTGTCAAAAATGGTAAATATCACATTGTCAGATACCGCTAGATTCTTGACCAGATTAACATCTGGGCCTTCAATTGCAATGTCTTTTGTTTTGTTGTCTCAACTAACAGACAACATGGATGAAACAGCAACATCTATGGCAGATATTCCAAAAAGAAACACATCCCATGCAAGAAATTAAAAAAAGTGACTCAGTGCTTTGCAGCATTTAGAATCAATCTAGCATCACTTTAGCATGTGACAGGGATAATCTAAAATAAGATACTTGTTTGTCTGGCATCATTTGCAATGAAGTTGCAATAAAATATAAGCAGCAACCTGATCACACTGAAGTCATGAACTGCCACCTGCATTCATGAAAGCTTGTATTTCGCTTTCCATCTCAGCCAACAACTCACTGAGCAAGTAAAAGAAACAAGAAACATCACTGGCTAAACTCAAACAAGAAAATTAATATATAAAATGTATGAATACTGGAGTGAAAAATGTCCTAATGAAGCCAACCTCCTAGAGTGCTTAAGAAGTTCAGCTCTGGCAAAGTCACTCTGATCTTCTGCATCAAAAACATCAAGGGTAAGACCAATGCAACGTTCGCTGCATGCTATTTCCTTTTTGTGGAGCTCATTCAGCCCTTTCCATTCAGCTAATTTGATTGCTTTCTCTTCTGCTGCGGCCCTGTCCTTCTTTACACTCTCTGGAGCAGGAATTAGTTCATCTCTTTGCTTTGTTACCCATTTTTCCATTTTCTAAATTGTTTAATTTTAGTCAGGCACACAGATAATGGAAAGTAAAAATCCAAGTTTATAGAAAACTGAAAAGAGTCTAGCTTGAATATTGATCATGTTCTTTCTCCTGTTCCCTTCTATATGTCAGGCATCCAAGAGGAAGTTCTAATGAAAACACAATCAAGGGTAGCAATCAAGCCAATCAATATCCAAAGATTGAAGAAGTTCCAAGTCAGAAGCACAAGGCAAGAATCAAAGAGATCAAAATCAAAGGAGAAACAATGAAAGTCAGCAACAGCAAAGAAAGTAATTTTGCTGCCAAAAATAAGGAGTATTGGGGGACTAAACTAAAGCAATTCCAGGAAAGAATCCAACACAGAACAATTTAAGGGAAGAATTCAATCAGAGCAATCCAAGGCAAGAACTCAAAATAATAACAACAAGACCGTTAAATGCTAAATGTATTCTATGTATTGTACTTACCATAATTGTAAGATGCTAAATATTAATGTGTTTTTAATATTTTTTTTCTTTTTTAATCTTGGTTGCACAAAGGGAGGCAAGCCTCTCTCCTCCCTTATCCCACCTCACCCACATAGCATGCGACTCAAACTCAATTTTCATGCAATAGATCCTAAATATGTATTGAATTGAAATCAAACACGCATGACCGACCACAGAATAAAGGAAAAGTGTTGTTTTTTTCTCATCAATCATGAACAAGATTCAAGTCAGATTACGGGAAGAAATGGGAATACGCACCTGAAATCGCCTCAGCTGGGATTTCCTAGAACGGTTCTTCTTCATCAACGTTGCCCTGGTTTCTGCTCTTTGATGAAAATCAGGAGTAGAAACAGGAAAATCGGTAAAGATCTACATCAGAGCTTGAAGAACAATAAAAGGAAATGGATTCTACAATGTTAAGAAAGAAAGAAAAAATATACAGGAGGAGGAAAGGAGAAGAAGGGCTCACCTGAAGCAGGGAAAGGAAGGAGGCGTGGGAGAAAGAGCCCTTGCCTGAAACAGAAAGAGGAAGAAATGGGAAAACGCACCCGGCGACGCCTCAGCTGATATCCCCCAGAACAGTTATTCTTCCTCATCCGAGCCATGGTTTCTGCTTTTCTATGAAAATCTGAAATAGAAACAAGAAATAAAAACACACCAAATTTTGAATCAGTACACGAATTCAGCTTGAAGAACATCAAATTGGAAATGGATTCTACAATGATTAAAAGGAAAACGAAAGAAGGAAAGGTACAGAGGGAGGGGGTTGGAAGAAGGAGCGCACGCCGGAAGCAGAGAAGGAGGAGTGAGAAAGAGAGTACCGTTGTTTTTTCTGTTCTCTTTTTGTGCTACTAATGACTAGAGGAGTGATTTCAATATTGCTGATTCGTCTGGGATCTGATATGCGTACACGTGGCGGTGCCACGAACTCTACCGCGCGCTAAATTAAAAACGCGCGAGCGTCTCCCGATACACGCTGCAGTACGCGTTGCGGAATTTCAAGTTTAATTCGGTATTGTGGTAAATCTACAACAGAAATCTCTTTTTCAGTGTACAGGCTCTTAGGGTATGTAAATATTTTTATAATTTTTTTAATTTTTTAGTATTAATAGTATTAAAATAAAAGTTAATTTTTAATTTATATATATTAATTACAAAAGATATATTTATTATATTTTTAGTATGTGCTTGACAAAATCCTATTTTTAAAATTTGTTACATTTTTTTTTGTTTATTTTTAGTAGTTTTAATTTAATTTTTTAACATTTTGAACATAAAATTTTAAATTAAAATTTAATGCTGTAATTTATATAAATTACAATTAATTTTTTTATATATAGTTCTTATTGAGTATTTTTATTAGATTAAATTTTTTTAAATTATTATCTATATAATATGTTAAATTGTATTTAAATTTTATATATAAAAAGTTAAAAAGTCAATTAAAACCATTAAAAATGAATGATGGAGTATTTATTTAGGAATTCATATTTTACCGGATGAATTGTGTATTAAATATATAATTTATCTTATAAATTTATTAAAATGTTTTTAATAAAATAATATAAAAAATAATTTTATTAAAAATATTTTAATAAATTTATAAGAAGAATTGTACTTTTAATATATAATTTATTTTATAAAACATATTTTAAATTTATTTATTATAAATATTTTAGTATTTTAATAACTCTAACATTATAAAAAAAAGTACAACCTGAATTAAAAAAAGAAAAAGACTATTCTTTTTTTTGAACAGTTTTTACACGAACCTGGATCGAACCTAGGCCAGGGGTGAGGAAAGTGCACTTGAAGTGGTTATTGCCACTTGATCCGAAGGGTTCGGGCTCGGTGCAAAAAAGACTATTCTCAATCTACGAAAATTGAAAGTAAATTAAGTAGAGTTACTGCTTATAAGTAAGGGCAATATTAAAATAAGACGAGTTTCTAATTTAAAACATATAAAATGACTCCTTTTTTTTTTATTTAACTCCCATTTTTTTTCCTATGTTTTCCACACTCCTAGATTTTTCTGTTCTGTTTAGAAAATTATGAAGCCGTACAATAACTCATTGGGGAGAAAACCCAATTCTTAGTTTCAACGTCCATTGCCTACTTAAAAAAAATAAATTATTAGTTCTCAACGCATCATGACAAAATGGAAAAATAGAAAAAACACAATAAAGTACTGAAATAGAGACTTTAAGAGACAACCAAATCATTACAACAATTACTAGCAAAAAACAAAAAAGAAAAAGAAAAAAAGGAAAAAAAAAAATCATTGCAACAATTAGTTTTGTGATTGCATAATAAAACATATGTTAAAACTCAGTGTCCACCTCCTTGGGCACACTGCCCCCACCTAAGTACTTGTCTGTGTTGTTGTCTCTGGATAACCATGTTTACTACAACAGAATTATAGTCTGTTTAGGAGAAAAAAACCAATAAACTCACAATTCTATTTCATTTGTTTGCATTGAGTCCAGACCACAGTACCTCCATATATACATCACAAATTTTACTTGTGTTGGACAAAATTATAGCCATACGGATTAATGTAACTGAAATCAAAACCTGCATGTAAAACTAAGATTTAAAAGATCAAGATAACATGAATGGTTTTGATTAGAGGAAAATCGATGGATTACAAATCCAATATTGAGTATTTCTCTCCTACTAATTTTTTTTCTCTATCTTAATTTAAGAACGCGCATCCGACGCGATTTTGGGTTGTAGGAAGTCAACTATGGCGGCTAGTATTTTATTGTTTTTTCATCAATCATGAACAAGATTCAAGTCAGATTAC